GCAACCGATAAGCACCTCTCCGGTGTGTCGACATAAATCCAATGCTTTCTGACGAAAACAAACGAAGGCTTAATCACATGTTGATAGAATTTCACGCCTGTATTGCACGTTTATCGAGAATCCGTCAGGCATCGATTACCAAGCACCGTATTATCACCTACGGCTACGCGCACCCTATACGGCAACAGTCTTCCCGCGTTACACCAACCGAACGACGCGAGATTCAAAAACAAGTGAAGGAAATGCTTCAAGAAGGTGTAATGCAGCCATAAAGCTGCCCATGGTCATAGCCAGTGGTCCGTAAAAAAGAAGAATGGTACACTTCGCTAGGAAGCTGAATAAAGTCACAAAGAAAGACGTGTACCCATTGCCTCGAGTGGACAATTCTTTTGACAGGCTGAGGCGAGCAAAGTAATTTTTCTCAATCGTCTTCAAAAGTGGTTATTGGCAAATTTAAGTCGATAAACGTGACCGCGAAAAAACGGCTTTCATAACTCCTGACGGTTTGTGTGAATTCCGAATGCTCCCATTCGGTCTCTGTTCTGCTCTGGCCACATTCCAACAATTGATGGATACCGTTCTCGCTGACCTCAAGTGAAAAAGTTGCCTCGTCTATCTAGATGATGTCGTTGTCTTTTCGAGAACGTTTAACGAGCACTTTTGTCGCCTTCGGAGTGTTCTCGAAGCTATACAATCCGCGGATCATAGCCTCAAGCCTGAGAAGTGCCATTTCAGCTACAGAGAAGTGAAGTTCCTGGGTCATGTTGTGAGTGCTGCAGGCGTTCGGCCCAATTCTGAGAAAACTGCCGCTGTGGCCACTTTTCCAGCTCCGTCAGACAAGAAAAGTCTTCGACGATTGTTGGGGCTCGGCGCATACTACCGTCGCTTTATTTAAAACTTCTCTAAGATTGCGGAGCCGCTCATCAAATTTACGCGTGACGACACCCCATCTCTGTGAACTGACGAACAAGCGACTGCCTCTGCAGAACTGCAACATCGATTGTCTTCCTTTCCTGTACTTAGTCACTTCGATGAGGACGCTGACACAGAGGTGCGCACTGACGCAAGCATCATTATTCTCGGGGCTATTTTGGTGCAAACACAAGATAGGACCGAACGTGTGATTGCCTACACGAGCAGCACTCTATCACGTGCCGAAACCAACTATTCAACGTCAGAGAAGAAATGTCTCGCTGTAATATGGGCAATTACAAAGTTCAGGCCTTATTTCTATGGGCGCCCATTTTAAGTTGTGACTGATCATCACGTTTTATGTTGGTTGGCTAACCTCCGAGACTCCTTTGGGTGATTAGCACGATGGAGTGTGCGACTTCAGGAGTTTGATATTACCGTCGTATACAAGTCGGGTAGAAAGCATGAAGACGCCGACACGCTATCACGATCGAGCACCTCTCGAATCCGACAATACAGCTGTAGAAGACGACAGTGCCTTCTTGGGGACTTTCAGTGGGGCGGACCTCCTCAGTAAGCAACGAGAGGACCCCGAGTTAAGGCCCATCATCGATCATTTAGAAAAAAGCACCGCGTCTGTTCCTCGTCCAGTTTCCCGTACGTTGCCGTGATTTTGCTTAAGACACAGCATAGTATACAAGAAAAAAAACCGGTGTCGGCAGCAGGTCTTATCTTCTAGTCGTTCGTCAAGACCTTCGTGAAGACATCCTATTAGCCTGCCATGATAAACCGACATCTGGTCATCTGGGATACTCATGGACGCTGGATCGGGTACGACAACTTTATTTCTAGCCAAAACTCGCAGCTTGTGTAAAACGCTACGTGAAAGAATGCCGCGAATGCCAGCGTCGCAAGCCACCACCAGTAAAGCCTGCAGGCCTCCTGCAACCTATCGACCCACCGCGTACGCCGTTTGGCCAAGTTGGAATGGACCTCCTTGGACCGGTTCCTTTGTCTCACTCTGGAAACAAGTGGATCATCGTCGCAACTGATTCATTGACGCGTTACGCTGAGACGTAGCCACTGCAATGCGGTACAACATCTGAAGTCACCCAGTTTTTCATGCACCACGTAGTGCTTCGTCATGGCGCCCCGTCATTCATCATCACTGACCGAGGGACAGCGTTTACGGCAAAACTGTTGGACGACATCTTCAAGCCCAGCTACACGAACCACCGTAAGCCAACAGCATACCGCCCCCAGAGTAACGGCTTGACAGATAGAAAAAACAAAACGCTGGCGGACATGATTTCTATGTACGTGGATGTGCAGCATAAAACGTGGAACGAGATTCTGCCGTACGTAAAGTTTGCGTACAACACCACCACCCAAGAAACGACAAGGTTCGCACTATTACGCCTCATTTACGGTCGAGAGGTGCAAACCATGCTAGACGCCATTATTTCTTGTGACATCGACCAGCACAAGCTGCTAACTCCTGATGTCGAGGATTACAATTAGCGTGCAGAGGAAACATGTCAACTAGCTCGCGTGCACATAAGATCGCAGCACTGTGAAGACACCCGAAGGTACAATATCCACCATCGACAAGTCACCTATCAACCTGGCGACCAAGTGTGGGTTTGGACTCCTATTAGACGGCGAGGTCTCAGCGAGAAACTCCTAAGCAAGTACTTCGGACCCTACAAAGTATTACGGCGGTTGAGCGAGGTCAACTATGAAGTTATTCCAGACAGAGGCTCGGCAACGACCCAGCCCCACTCACCACGAACAGAGATTGTGCATGTAGTCCGCCTAAAACCTTATTTTACGCAGTGATACTCGCCGTATTGTGCCCGGGCAGCAATCATTTTCTTTTTTCTTGTTGTCAACTGGGTCTCGAACAAACTTTGAACTGTGTTAATGTTTTATTCTTATGACCAACCACAGATATTTTTTTTGCACCTGCGTATGTGCTGTGCACTATAAGTATTGTTTTTTCCTTTCTTTTTTTCCCCTTATGGACCCTGCTGTCTCCTTGCGTATGAGCATCGAGTCGATGCTCTAACGGGAGGGGGAATAAAGCAACCTAGAGTTGTGAGCTGGCAAGCCCTAGCGAGGAAGAAGTGTGTGTTAATGCTTCGTTTGAAGATACACGCTCGTGTCTTTCTGCCCTGCTGTTCCTCTCTTGTATTTACGGCTCTTGGTGCGTGACAATATATATATATATATATATATATATATATATATATATATATATATATATATATATATATATATATATATATATATATATATATATATATATTTATATAGTACATAGCGCAAACTGCAACCTGTGGTTCGTGCTACAGCCTGTGTTTTTTCGTTCATCCTAGAGCTTTGTTTTGCAAAACGCCGTTGTTACTGACTTGTTTGAACTCGCGCAAACAGCAATGCTCTTGTTTTGACCGATAACCACTCCGTCGGTCACATGAAGAATGACTTGTCATGAATTGCAAGACACGCAGTTGGCGACCTGTTTTCAGCGCATGTGCAGTTGTTTCATCGATATGTATTCAAGCTGAAGGCATTGTCAGATTAGACAATGAATGCGGAGTTTTCCATTGGGAAATTGTCTAGCAAAGAGCTTGCTTTTCTATGAAGTAGATTTTTAGTGTATACGTTGTGGCACTGTGCGGTTATACAAGAACTTTGTTCTCAAGGAAATAGACTTATTTTAGTACTTCTCACACTGCGTGTCGTCGTCTCTTTCTTTCGTAGTTATTTTGCGTGCTCAAGTGAATATTTTGATAAATAACCGAATGGGCATGCCCAATCATCCGCCATTCTAAGCTTTAATAAGGGGAACATGTTACAGCGGTATCAATTGGACAAGTGTAGTTTCGTTTACAGGTGACGTTTATAGCTTCGCCAGATGATGCCAGCACCAGAGCGCAGAAATGGCGCAAATAGGCCCCGAACTGAAAGAAGTTACTTTTATTTGCTATAATTTTGGCTTCCTTGATTCATTCGTCTAGTTGTTTACTTCAGAATTGTAGACAATTTTACAAACACACACACACAAAAAAAAAACTTGCAAACACCTGAGACGGTTAGATTGTACAAGGCATCGTTTTATACTTGATTGATTGATATGTGGGGTTTAACGTCCCAAAACCACTATATGATTATGAGAGACGCCGTAGTGGAAGGCTCCGGAAATTTAGACCACCTGGGGTTCTTTAACGTGCACCCAAATCTGAGCACACGGGCCTACAACATTTCCGCCTCCATCGGAAATGCAGCCGCCGCAGCCGGGATTCGAACCCGCGCCCTGCGGGTCAGCAGCCGAGTACCTTAGCCACTAGACCACCGCGGCGGGGCATCGTTTTATACTTTTGTTGTGAAGAGGCCCAGCAAGCCTGATAGAAATGAATAAATCCTATTTGTTTTGTTTTGACGTTAACACCCAGCACCTTCTGTTTTTGTGAGAGGTTTATTTTACAGCTAAAACCGTCGGTGCTACGATGGTGATTGCGTGAATCACTACCGGGCTCTCGCTATTACCAGCCCAAATTGAACAGCTGGAAAATAATTGTTCACGCAGACAATACCCATCACAGAGTGTGACACGACGGACAGAGATTACCACCCTTTTCGTTCAACTCGTGCAGAGATTGCACGCATGAGCAACTTCAGAAAGTGCCTGCAAGTGTTTCGTGTAATACGGTGTATGAACTGATACTCTTACCACTGATTTTGATCAATTCACTGATTGCGTGGAAACAATTGCATTCGAGAAAGGAAGAAAACGAAGTATGCTGGCCTTCTGCCGAAATCTGCAGTTCCCACATACGAACCGTTTAATTTCAGAGCTAGTTTCGAATGATGATGCTGCAGATACAGAAGACAGGTGGTAAAATTAAGTCCAATTGAATTGATATGTCGGAAATAATCGTTCGAAAATACAAGGGTATAAGTCAGCAATACTAATAGATAATAACTTGGTATCCGGATGAGCAGCTGTGTGGTGCCTAGCTTTTAATATATGGTGCCTAGTCTATAAAAGACCGAGTATATGTAATGCACGTAGGACGCGAGAGCAGTTGAGATGACTGGAGTTCAAGCATGCGTGCTAGTTCCGAAATGTTGTTCTATTGTCTCCGAAAAACTAAGAGATCCCGGAGGTCCGCAAAAGCTGAGGCACCTTGTCGCAGACAGTTTAAAGGTAAACTTAGGAATTGTAGAAACAGCAGCATTCAGAATCACGTACACTTATTGCATGCATATATATTCTGGATGCGTATACCAACGAAGTACAAAAAACGTATGAAGAAAATGAACCTCCTCTTGTCTGAATGTTGGAGAATGCTTTAAAATCACAGTGAGCTCAATGGCTGCCCGGAAACTTGCAAGCGGGGCTTGTATTTCCTTGAAATTTCGCTGGCAATTGAGGTGTGACAGCGAAAAAAAAATCCGACACGCTTAAGCGTGAAAAAATTCCAGCCTTCGAATGTGTGCCAGTAACACAAGTATTTTTAGTCGCCGTTTTTCAATGATGTCCCTAGATTGCGGGTTGTATAGCTGACTACTAAATCCACGCTGAGACATTTTCTTGCTGCTTTAATGTTAACGTTCGACAGTTGTTTGTTGTTTGGTGCAAATAATCACGCGGGTGATGGAGGAAGGAAATGTTTAAACACGAGCATAGCCCAACGCCAAAGAAAAAAAAAACAGAGAAGGAAAGAATCTGGCAGATACCACGTACAATCGGAAGCGATGTCATGCGAAGCCTGCGGAGGAAAAGTTTTTCATTTAGAAATACGGTACGAAATGACACTAAAAATATGTAGAAATATTGTACGCACAGACATATATTAAAGAGTGGCGTGTTCATTGTGTATCGCGATGCCAAAAATAAATTGGGTATTAGCTACACCAGAACCGGTAAGCTGATATGTAGCGCTTGTGCCAGCGAGAATGGTGGCCATACATAAATGAGCTTCAGTTGACGGCGCTTCAGTGCAATGCCATTAACCCGACGATACGGCTGTATAATAGGAGTACGCATATACTGTTTACAAGATTGGATAGCCAACATTGTAACCACAAGTGACGTTTCACGAACACTGCGCTTTCTTCGAAAAGTACTTCTGGGACCTGGCGTGGCCCTGCGGTACAATATTTGACTCCCATGCCGAATGCTGGGGCTTCATTCTTGCTGCGACCATAACGTTTATGCTATGCTTTCGTTGCGTGAACACTGCTGATGCCACATTTTAGGGTCGAAGCTTCTTAAGCCTGACCCATTTGGCGTCCCTTACGCCCCACTTTGAACTATATTACCGCGCAATACATAATCCCCTGTGTCGTCTGTCTGTCCGCACGTCTATGAATTTGTACGTCCGTCAATCCGTCCGCATGTCCATCCATCTGCCCATCTGTCTGTCCGTCCACCCGTCTGTCCATCCATCCGTCCGTCCGTACATTCATATGTCCACCTGGCCATCCGTCCATCCGTGGATTAGTCCGTCTATTTGTCCACCCGTTATACTAGTCGACGACACGAACGCAGGCGTTATGGATCTTAGGATCTATAGCTTCGCCCTATTATCATACTTCACTTCGTGGAGAGTCACTTATTTTTCTTTACGCCCTCTAATTAATTAAACTACCATCATGCTTTCGTTTCCTTCCGTGGTTGATAAAACGCGCAGTGAAATTCAGTGCATTGCCCTTCACTACAGTTCATCTTAACCCGGCGTTGCCGATGTATAGTTTAAAAAAATAGCCATCACTGTATCCGCAATGAATGCTTCACGAACAATATGGTCGACCTGAAAAGCAGTTGCGAGACCTGGCGTGCCTTTGCAGTAAAATACTTGGTGGCCGCGCAGGACGCTGGCGTTGGATTACTGTGGGCACCCAGGCATTTTTTTCTTTACAATTGTCAGGTCAACGCAGCCAATTTGAGCTTTCTCCTAACCAATAGGTGGTAAATTACCCATATGTGTTCTCGCTGTTTCTGGGCAGGTATATGGTGTCAATATTCTATGGCACATACCCGCCCGCGGGTATGTGTCACTATTGACTGAACGTTTTTGACGATCTGTGCGGCGACATTGTTCATTATCCATATCATCACCACTGATTCGTATTTTTCAAACTACCTCCCATGCTAATTTTGGTTTACGCAACGGAGATAATCGCGTGAGCACCGAGCCGTAGGCATCAAGATAGATAGATAGATAGATACCAAGAGCGCTTGCTGTAGACAAAGAAATGCTTGGCGTATAAAAAAAAACTAGAAGTAGGACCTTAAGCATATTTGCTGGCCTACTTCACTTGGCCCTGTTTTCCACATCAGGCATGGACTAGGGAATTCTTCTTCGACAGCGAACTGCTGGGTTCGACAGTTATATGCATCGTAACTGCTCTCTCATTTGTCTTTTCATTGTTCATAATGAAAATGTGTCAGAACCACCAAGTGCTGTCACTCAGACAAGTTCACGCATTCAAAGCTATTGAAACAGGAAGAATTTATGGGCGATGCTATCTGGCAGATGTCGAACAGCCTAATTCTGCCTTTACGCTACCAAATTACATATTGTCACGCTGAACGTACTGATTTGTTCGCACCATCTTACACTCTCTGACAATCACTAACTGCAACGAAACACAAACTGGTGGAAGTGAACGTGCCCATTCATGCTTATACGAACGAATTCATCACACTTGGAATAATTTTGTCCTTTACTAGTGTGCAGGACGTATCGCACAGGCATTCAATAGTAACGAAATACAAGTTGTCATTTTTTATGGTTACGAATCAACTAAAAGTTTTCCCCACATAATGTTTAGTTAGTACCTTTGCTAAAATACTAGCTCTGGGTCCAGTACAAAAACAAAGTGAACCCAGTCCATGCATCAGTTAATTGCAGTTATATAAAAACGAACAGAGGTGACGCCTATGTTAAACCTTGGTTAAAAGAAATGTCAATGGTTTTATCTTCACCTCACTGATTGTACACCCATAACGCAACAAATTTTGGTAGCGTTGCCAATGAGGCTTTTTTGTAGCTAGATCTAGCAAATTTTGCGCTCAGCAAGCTACCAAAAATTTGATTTAGCTATGAAGAGCTGTTTTAGCTTACTATTCGAGATTTAGTTCCCAATATTGCTATATTAGCTAATCCTAAATGTCATGTTATGATTTTTTTGATATATACATGCACAGGCACTTTGATCAAGAAAAGCATAAGGGACAAAACAATCACTCTTTCCATCGACAGAATCCGAATAATGAAAAACAAGACATTTTGTATTCTTAATTTCCTCCTAATTGGCATCAAAATGTCATGGCACATACAAAAAAAGACAAGATGACACGAGCTTGTGAAGTGATCGGGTCCAGAAATCGGCACAACAAATGACGGATATCGTGAAATATTTACATGCAGAGGCAGTGCCGCAAGTCTCATGGCTGTTCACCACCAACCTTAACATACTTGTACAGCCCTTCTACGAATTTCCAAGGCGGGTCCTCCTGCATGTCGTTAACACTATGGTAGTCCATATTCTATTTTTTGTGTACTGTACAGATCGTTTATACTCAATGTTTCACATTTGTCACCAGCTAAGACATGTAAGGTAAAAATTATTTCACCAATGAACAATATGATTCTCGTAAAAATGGCAGCAGATTGAAGACGTATTCACTTCTGTGGCATATAAGTTTAAAACAAAAGATATAAATATCTTTCAGGTGTTTTAAATTTCCGTAAAAGCTTGGCCTTGGTGCTGCTTCACCTGCATGTATGTCGAATGCAGTTGGACTTACAGACATCTTGGTAATTCCCGAATTAAAAGCTGAGGGATCCTTAGCTTTCCTTTCAAGCGTTGAACGGGACAGGGCAACTCTTTCTCTAAGGCATACTTCAACCCCTGAGTACATGTATGATGTTACCCGAGAAGTTTAAATTGTGTATTACAACATTAAGTTCCATAACTTGAAGGTGACTTGTGTCTGTGAAGCTTTTGTGTATGGCTGCATTCTGTCTATAGCATGCTTTAAACAAAGGGCGATCATGCGCGTGAAATCTTTTCCACCTCAGTTTACGCACGCACTATGTGTTTTTGAAGAAATACATGCAGTAACGAGTGTACCTTTTGTAATCAGTTGCCAGCTTCAAGCCTCAAAGCCGTTTTGATAATCACATGTTCTGACACCTGATGGCAATGTACGCTTATACTACGCAGTATTACTGTGTATATAACATATTGTATATTGAAGTCTGTGTTAAACAGGAAGACTTCGTTCGTAGATAACCGGGCTTTAAGGATAGGTACGCCTGGAGAGATCGAGCAGTGTGTCTCAACTCTGTCGTTCGTTCCAGAGAAAAAAAGAACCAAGCTCTTCGTGCCACTCGTCATCCCTCATTTCTCTTCTTCTATCTCCACACTTACTAAAAACCTGTATACAAAACACACACGTTTGTAAAGCATGAAGATAATTATAACTGTACGCCCTGCCGCGGTGGTCTTGTGGCTAAGGTACTCGGCTGCTGACCCGCAGGTCGCGGGATGAAATCCCTGCTGCGTCAGCTGCCTTTCCGATGGAGGCGGAATTGTTGAAGGCCCATGTGCGCAGATTTGTGTGCACGTTAAAGAAACCCAGGTGGTCGAAATTTCCGGAGTCCTCCACTACAGCGTCTCTCATATACATTTGGTGATTTCGGGAAGTTGAACCCCACATATCAATCAATCAATCAATCAATCAATCAATCAATCAATCAATCAATCAATCAATCAATCAATCAATCAATCAATCAATCAATCAATCAATCAATCAATCAATCAATCAATCAATCAATCAATCAATCAATTGTTCAATCAATCAATCAATAAATTAGCTTTCGCTGTATTTTCAAGCAGAGGAAGTTATTTGACCTGTATTTCTAAGTCGGCGCGTGGCTTTGTGGTAGAACACCTGCTTGCCTCGCAAACGTCCCGGACTCGATCCACACTCAGACCCAGGTATTTTTCTATTTTACTTTGTTCGCGTCTTTTTTGATTTTGCGGTCACGCGCAAGACAATTTTTCACTACCAACCAACAGCGTCCATGCCACCACCGCTGGAATTTCTGCGAAAGGAGCTGTTTTAGTGATATCGCTTTACAATACCAAAAAATATTTTTTGCTCTTGCAGCGAGGTGTCCTAACGGGGTT